AATTTCAATATTGATTATAGATTACATATTATTATAATATTTTAGTATAATCCATATGAAAACACTGACGGTGTTTCAATCGACATGTACATTGTTTATAGTCCAGTCAATTGGTCTAAATATTTATTATTTATTCGACTACCCTAACCTTAACAACTCGTTATTATCATCTCGATCCATAATTATATTCTATGAACATGTCGTTTTGTATAAGTACCTACCTCCTCCACTGACCTATCGGCCGCCCAATTTGTTTGTCTTCAGACATTTTTATATTTATCAATCCCTGTTTGCTGAACGTTTGAAATCAGTGGCTGTGACCCTCTTCACAAAACACTGACCGCCGTATACCTGACTGGGCCATTCGTCGTTTTTGTAGTACTCGGATTTCAAACGGATTTTTACGTATCAACCCTCCACTCACCCTTGTTTTCGTTCATTTCGATGTAAACAAATTGCACGTTTTGCTTATGAATCCGCACTAGACGTCACGGTTACTAGATCAAAGTGAAATACTAGTTCTATAAAATAACAGCAAGAGAGAGATTACTGTTTCAATATTTCACGACAGCGAGACACTAAATACACTATACAGATTTGATTTTGTTTTAAAAATCTATTGTAAAATATTAATTATTGCACTTGCCAAGTTACATTTTGAAGAAAAAATACTTATAACTATATTTTTGTAACAACATGAACACCATTCTATATTTTAGTGTTTTCAAATTTTTATTAATTAAAATAATATACATATACCCAATGAATACAATAGGATTCCATAGCGGCATTGTGATTAGGTTTTATAAATAACTAATACCATTGCATTTTTGTGTTACTACTTTTTGGTTAAGCTAAACATACTTTTATGATAAATATATTCATCAAAACTGTTTTTCAAAAGATGGCTCCCTCATAATAGTTCACCAAATCAATATTCATAATTGCAAAAAAAAAAAAAACCATTTTTTAATAATAATGATTTTTGGCTCATCGAATTTTAATCCCAAATCATAATTGTTCGAGTGTAATGTAATAAAAATGATGATATTTTCATCATACTATTAATGATATGCAGAAATAACAAACATATTTTAATAAAAAAAATTGTAGTACAGAAACCCAGAAAAATATTTTATCAGACTATTTATTTTCTAACACGAAACCATATTGGATTGTAATGATCCGATGTAACAATTCCTTGACGGATACTTAACCGGAGGAAAGTAGTAGAATATAACTGTCACTTAAATATAATGTTCGGGTAATTCATCAAGTGACATTTATATGGTTTCATACATCGAAGTCAATAATGTTTTATAAAGTATGACGTTTCATAAATTGTATTACAATCACAAGTAAAGGTGTATATTATTGAGTTTTTGACAATTCAAAATAATATATGTGAGAGGATTGACTCACGTCGGATACATTCTCAGCCAGCTAAGGTACTTTCCCGTGAGCTCAATCTCTTCCCTCCTCTCTTCCACACGCCCCACCTTCTCTCTCTTCCTCTTCCTCGACTATTCAACAACCGTTAGATTATGACAGTACGTTTTGTTCCAACGCCATTCAGAACGGAGTGAGCAAAATCGAACGAATTTTCTGATACGAGTAATATACAACTAGCGTACCTGATACAAGAAGAAAATAATGTCTCTGCCGCACGAGGTTTATTGTACGACGTGGACGCGCGAAAAATGAACAAAGACGATGACGATATCGTCAGTTCTTCCGTCGAATACGGGTAAAGTACTATACGACTCGAAAGTTATTGATATTGTGGCAGTATAGGCGTAGGTGCACGGATGCGGAGGGCAGGCGGAGTGAAGAACGCGCAATTTATTATCGCAAACGCGCATTTTAAACGCGTCCGGGGTAGTTCACTTTTGCAAATTAAAATCCGAATAGGCCATATTTTACCGGCACGTAATCCGCGGGTTTAACATTGTCTTGCCAGACACGCAGGTCGCGACCGTCTTGCGAGGCGAAACCGATCGCACGCACGAAAACAACAACAACTGCTGTTTTAGTGCCTCGTCGTCATCGGCGAGGATCAGCGGTCCCGTCCGCCCGGCCCTAAAAAACAATTTAATGTGTACGCGTGGATACACTGCGGGATATACGCAAAGACGGCGACAAAGACGGCGATGTTGTTTGGCCGTCGGATTCCGGTCGTCATCAATATTTTATGACAATAATACGGACGATATTCAAACATGTACGGATCGCAGTCTGCAGGAAACGAGAGAGTACGACGGATATAAATCACCGCGGTATATCCGATCAAAGTTTTTTATCCCCTCTACCCGTCTCAACACTCACACTACACATATAAGTGTTATGCGTCGAACAGGTTTGTACACTGTGTATCCGCCACACCGACACTTCGGCGGAATAACTATATAATATACGCTCGCGCATTGTCCCGTCTCCAAAGTTTTGTACAGACACGACGTAAACATTATGTGCGTGTGTATATATCGAGGATTTCAATAATACGAGCACGGGTTTTAATCTAGACAAATGTGTACAACGATGTCGGGATTATCGTCGTATATACGAACAAAACAAATATATGCGCTGGATCCGGCGGTGTATATGCGCTCGGCGAGGCCAACGACTATATCTACGTACATGTAGATACCACTACCGCGGTAATCTTTTCCCCGATCGTACGTAAGAACTACACGAAGAGTGCGGCGCTATGTGATCGTATCGGGGCGAAAAAAAAGGGCGATGGATTTACGAGCGATGCGATAAAATGCCTACGAAAATAATGTAATATAATATAGTATTAAAGTTAAGCAATGACCCCTCCGTGGCACCGTCGAGACACGGAATCGTCGTCACTGCGTGGTGATAAAAAATGTTTGTAGTCGTAGGCCGTGGCGGACTTTTATTCGACTTTTTTGGTAATAATTAACGAAGAAAAACCACCCCCTAGGTATAGGTGCAGTATTATTGGAGAACTGGAAATGTCATTAAATCCGACAGCAACAACGGAGTAGGAAAACTTTTAGACTGATCCTTATTACTACCGAAGTAGTAGGTATACCTCACTTCTTTTGTGACTCGATTGAAACTCAAAAAGCTGAGTAAAGAGTTTTTGTTTTGTTTTATTTTTTTTCATTTTAATTACGAGTTTCGGAGATAGACCGACGTCACCGTCTTTCGCGTACTTAAAAATTAATTGCCGAAGAATTTTGCTGGAACGCGCACGTACCGTCATACTGACGCGTATTCCTCTCGCGATTTAAGTGTGTTTACCGCCGTCGTTATTCGGTAATACACTCGTAACCACGTTTATTGTAAAAAAAAATTGTCTCTCCGCATAGGGTTTATTTTGCGTACGACCATAATGGTAGGTATTGTATAACTTTGAACAAGAATCAAAAACTCGGGCTGCATCGAAATAACCAAGGCATGTGAAAAAAGGAAAAATAGAAATAAAACGTACATTAATTATCATAATTATATGCCCTCGTCGTTTGCGTTCCAATTTCGGCTGCGACGCCCACACGTGGGGTGATAAAGACGATTAAAATACCGACCGGCCAGCCGACGATTTAACGACGTGGATTTAGGTGTTGAGAAACGCGCACGATGGTATATAATATATAATATAATTGGCCGTAAACACAGCGCTCATTAATCGCCATGACGATGACGGCCTCCACTGTACTGAATCGTAAAAAATGTATAAGCCTCGTGCCAGCGAAAAGCGCGTGGACCTCTAAGGTCAGTGATGCGCATTCACCGCGATGGCGGTACTTCAAGCACTACGTCTAATAATGTTAATAATATTTTAAAAACGATATAGCATTTTGGATCATAATATTTATTACATAAACGCGGAAAAAAATGTTTCGCCCATCATTTTCCATAATTTAGTTGTTTGTGCTCAAATATTAACAATACAAATACAAACACAAATATACGAGTATACAAACACATCATACATGGATTGTCTAAAATATCAAATCTATGCGATAGGCAGAACCTTTGCAACAACTACTGATAACATGAGTACGGCGTTTGGTTGGGCCAACCTAAAATATAACGTCAACAATATAATCAGAAATTCTTAACGCACAATACAATATTGTATATTAAGACGAAATATATTCAATTTTAGATCGTACTAGACATTTGTACTTTTGAATCTATTGTCTTGCATGTTGATCTCGTGATTGCCATATTACGTCTTATACCCGACGAAAACGTTTGATGTCTCGTTTGATGTGCATATAGAATAGTTTTAAAACATGACTATACCGTGCGGCCATACATATCGTGGTATACTAATATTTCAGTCAAAATAACGTACAAAAAAAATAAATCGAACAAAACTGACGAGCAGGGCTTCTAGTTTTAAGAATGTCAATTATATCGCAACGTGGTTATTATTATGTACCATTGCTTTGTCAGGTATATTTAGGGTTTTCGTTTTGCTTGCGTCCCTGAGTTGCAGGGCTCACTCCGTACTTGTATAAAAGGTGCCCATTAATACCTTGTATTATTATACACGTGAAGAGGAATGGTATGGAATTCGGAGACGATGTCGTGTCGTTCGTAATAATTATGTCCCTGGTACTGTTTTGTACACATCGCGTCGTCGGGTGTAATTTGAAAACTTCTGTCGTTTTGGCCGCAATTAAACCGAAAAACTTTTCATCAAATGTTCATTTTTTTTTTTAAATTATTAATTATGTACAGTTACGAGACGGGTGGGAGGATAAAGAGAGAGGAAGAGTGACAAAAACAACTGTATAGCAGATTGAAATTCACGTTTTTGAGTTCACGATTATATATTGTCATACATTTAGTAATAATATTATAGTGTTGTCGGAACACGCGACAAATCACTCGGCACGACGAACGATTTTTGTACACAGTGAAACGTGTACATTTTTAAAACTCGCAGATATATAATATAATAATAAATTTAGATTTGCATTCCTAAAAATAATTCGTACATGAAATTCGTAAGATCTTACCTTTACTGACCCCCGAAAACTTGTCCCTGAGCAAGTTCAACTGGTACACTCGACCAAACTCGCCGAACATATCCATCAGGTCCTGTTCGTTCATGGCCCTAGGTATTTGGCCCACGAACATTTTTATGTAGTCGGTTTCCGGCTGTTCGCCGTCGTTGCTGCCATCAGCTGTGGACGCACATGGGGTAGGAATGGACATTTCTATATCACTGGAAGTAAAAAAAAATACGTCTCAATTACTTAACGTTATAATATCATATTATACTACGGGGAACAGGACGTCAAAGAATGAATGTAATGCGATATACTTGTGTTTGGGGCTTAGGCTCACTATTATTATTATTTCACAATAGTTACCTATACCTACGTACGATATTATGTATAATAATAATGTGTATCGATATATATTTCGTTTTTAATCAACCGTGTGTCGTTGAAACCGAGCCCTTCGTCATGATTCCTACGAAATTTACCTCTGTATAATATATATATTATAAACTTGCTCGATGTATGTGTGCACGAGGAGATTTACCCCAAATTGCATTACGAGACGACCCCCCAGGGAGATTTGTCGGACCGACAGTGTAGGCACGGGCCGCCTAGACCATTTCGCATTTTGCCCTAAAGAGGCTTAAGATCGGATTTCGCCGTCGGCGGTGGCCGTTGCGGTGATTGTTGACCGGTAGGGTTTATACACTTCATATATATATATATATATATATACTAATAATGTAATATTATTGTGGCTCACGTGGCCAATCAATCGGAGAGCATTACGACCGAATGTCACCTGATCCCATCGAATCCCGTCATCGACATCGTATAATTAAGTCATTTCAATATTTTACAATGTCGTTGGACTAGTAAAGTTAGTTGAATAAAAACGACAAAGTGAAACATATTTTTAGTTGTTAAAAAAATGCTCTTGCGAAGAGAGAAAACTAATCAAGGCAATGCGTATTATTGTCGTTGTCGACATCGTCTTGTGACACCATCATGACTGGTTATTATTTTCTTAGTCTTTCGACGACAAAACAGAAGTCATACTTTTGAGGTTTCCCTTTGTGTTCAGATGCATTTTTTTCTCTACCAAGAAAAAAACAAATGCGATCCCGTGAGCCACCGAGTGCAAAAGACAGCGTTTGTATTTATTTTATACTCTTTTCCGTTTCGATTAAAATAAAATAAAAGCGTTTCGGGTCGAATAATATACTCATCGTACACTATAACGATATGGGGGGGGGGGGTCGAGGTGGTAGCACGACGGATAAAACGTTTCGCAAACTAGAAAAAATAATAATAAACAAGAAAGCAGGAAAAGCAAACTTTACAACTATGCTAACTTTTTCGTTTCTATAATATTAACGTAATTTATGAGTCTAAAATGAAATATGTATAACCAATAATCAATGCAATGCGGACGCCATGAAAATTAGCCAACTATAGTATAATACAAATTTCCATTATCAGAACAGTAAACAATCATAAATAAAAGTATTTTGGAGTCTGCAATGTGTATAAACTACAATGGATGCGTCGTGTCTGTTGAAATAGAAGATAAAATTGACTTAATGTCAATAAAAAATAAAGTTTCATCAACGCATAAGTCATGTCACACCCAACTCTTGTCTCGTATAGTAAATTTCACTCGGTAAATTTATTTCACGCAGCTGGGTATTCAAAACAATTCTTTTATAACTTGTTGTAGTGTGTTTACAACGAGTTATGGTAATTATTGATATCAATCAAACGTCTAAAATGAAATACCGACAAAAATGTGATGTATTTGTAACGAATATTTCGAAACACTTGTGTGAAATACGTTTAGTTGAAAATGCCAAGCCAGAGTTACTCGTATAGGGTATGACGTGTAGTAAGTATTAAAACTTTGAATGCCCTCGAAAATGAAACGGACGATTTTTTGAAAAAAAAACACAACGGACATCATAATAATGCAGCAGGTAGGTGGGTATTATTATTACATAATATAGACGCGTAGTACAAACTAACCATACACAGAAACCTAAAACCACAATGGGCCGCCGCTACACACAGTTGCGAGGGGGGGGGGGCAAGAGTTATAACAGTAGTTATCTCCATCCCCCTCACTCATCCAAAACGCCCAGCGTGTGTGGGCGCGAGTGTGTGGGTATTATGCGACGCGCCGCGTCCTTATCTGCTCGTACACACTCGAGTACCGAAATTGCATATGCATGAACGCCTCGTAATGAGCGGACAAATGAAACGAAATATTATACGCGACGGCGTATTATACCTGCTGCTCCGCCATCTGCATAGTAATAATAATAATAATAATAATAATAATAATAACAACAGCAACATGATATAATATACACTGTGATAAATAATTTTACGTCTGCCGCGGAATAATATTTATAACGGAGCGCGGATAACTTATTTTTTTCCCCACAGCGATTATATAGATTCACTCCGAGCGTAGAAATCTCGGTATAACTATTGTACTATCCCCTGGCCACCACCCCTTGTTTTTTTGCCGGGGTAAAAACGAATTTACTTTTGGAAATATCAAAAGCCACTCGAAGTGCCCGACTTAGTACTATGCGCATAATATACGACGAGTTATCAGTTTAGACACGCGTAAAACAAATAAATTGTGAATTAACGAGTCGCACGCACCCCGAAGCGCCTACCGTCACGAATTTCCTACTCGAACTATTTAGTTTTCAATGAGTGCGTATGTTCAAAAAATTTGTTCCTGGCACGGTAGTATTTGATACTTATGTTCCGGTGCAAATTATTATAGTGTTTGTACAACGCCGGTTAAACAGTCTTCTAAAAATAAACTTCGATTAAATTGTAAGGTAATGCAATAACTTTATGATTGAATTTTATTTTTTGCATTATCAGATGTCTTATATTTTTAGAAACTATTTTATCCCATTGTAATTCGTAACCATAAACCTCTAAACTGGTTTATGTTCTCTGGTTATTATATCAGGACACAAACGATGCGTTATTATTATACCTAATAGATATCTTATTTTATTTTAACCAGGTGCCAGTTAAAATGTTCAAAATAATCGATTACGATAGTCAAATAACCGTTCTGATGTTCGGATCGCATGCGCAAAAGCTTGTTTTGGTAAATACTAGTTCAATGATTCATATGTTATTTTTAATTGCGGTGCAAAAACTCTCCATCGTTACCGTCATTTGTGTGTGTGGATTTGTATAGCATTATAATAATTTTTTGATGTTTATGGGTAATGTTTTTACAATATCTCAGGTACTTGAATTATAATATTATGTATATTGTCACGTCCGTTGTAGATAGAGTGTTTGATTTGAAATTAACTACTACTATTACGCGAGGCGATGTTCCATTATCAAAATATATAACATTAAAATGTCCGCTGGTAAGGTCGGTCATGCGCACAACAAATAATTTTATCGAATATTTTGCCGGTATATTATTATAATGATACAACGATACAAAATATGCAATCACGCGCAATGGATTGCATTATTGTTTGTACGCCGGCGGTGTTTGTTTGTATGTTAAAAAGCCACTTAGGTATGCCGGCAGACCGATAACGAAAAAATATTTTTCAATGTTCTACTACTACAACAGAACTATCGATTAGTTTGAAAGACGCGACGACACGTCTAACGATTTACCGATAGTTTTATTATCTTCCATTGGCGAAATTTTCAAAATTGTATTTCTAATAATATTATAATAATTGAGAAATTTCTTACTCTTATTCGCCGTTGATGGAATTGTGTTTTTTGTTATTGGTCAAATGTGAATATGTGATGAGACACATCCCTTTATTCCAAACACATAAATCTATAATATTTTCCTTTTATAATATGATTGCTTTATTAGCGTGTGTTAGATTAATTGAATTTCAGCTTTAATTGAAATATAAACAGCAAACAAATCAATGATGTGTTGTATACTTTGTAAGACTTGTATTACAAATAATTTAGACTGTTGGGACTAATATCGTGGACCTTATCAAATTATAATTTTATATTATTCAATAACTTTATGTGAATCATAATACGAATTTGGGTAGCGTTTTATGACAATGCGTGAGATACGGTACGCCGATCTACCTGTTCGATGACGGTCGTTCGGCAGTCCCTATATCTTCGACCATAATACTTCGAACTCGCCCCAGGGTGCGTGTGGTGGACTTTTACCCAAATAGTCATCGAAGCAGAGAATTAATTAAATAAAATATTGTACCGAAATGTATGTAGGCATTGTGAAAATCGGTTGTACAAAAAAAAGAGTCATCCGGGCAAAAACGATATTGACCATCAGGTAACATAATAAATTAGACAAAATCATATAAAAAGGAGGTATCAAAGTATGGACGGTGGCGGAATGACTATAGGTATATCGATTTCGGTGGAAAACCAATATATATGTAATATATATACGACTACGGATGGGAAAGGTTTTGAAGGGAAATGGATACGGTCCAAAATTGGTTCTCGTATCGTACAACGTCGATACGAGTTAATCCGACCACGGTGTATATTATACCTACGCATTAGCACAGAAATAGGCGCACGCCCGATGCAGTCTCTAGCACGTCGTCGTAAACGTGGATTTGCTATCGGTAAAAAAAACCCATCTGGTTATGATTTACGAGCGATTTTAATATTATAACGACGAGAAAAAGAGTATACGTTGTTATAGGTATTTTTTTTTTTATCGGGATTAACGTCCGAACACGTATTAATTGACAAACCCTTTTTTTTTCGTTTGCAATCTTTTGTCCGTGTAATAATATTATTATACTATTATATTTTCAGACACAAGGATTACGTATATTATCAATGTGACGTCGCGGGATTTAGTCCGAGCGCGTTTTCATAATTGCTCGATTATTAACATACAAATTAAAACGTAATCCGAGCGGATTTAGAATGACGAATAAGTTTTACGACGACATCGTTTTTAATACTCGCTAAAACGAAAATAATTTTTATAAATTGAGGTCGCACACCGACAATTACCGCCGGTGTCGGCGGGTTCGGCCCGGCCCCGCGCGCTGTAAAGTTTTAGATTTATTCAAATTTAAATGATTTATACAGCGTATTGTCGGAATTCGAGTTCACGCTAACCGCGCGCGTGTTTCATATTATAAGCGGCGGATCGAATAAGTATTTTTATTTTTTCAGTCGTCGAAGACGGTAGGAAAAAAATACA